TGAATCTATTACCTAAGACTGTCAGGAGAATAGAACTTTGAGTAGGTAGATATCTTTCATTAAAAAATTAGACTCCCAGAGAAGAATGTCATTGGTATTTTGATAGGGTTTGCCTTGAATTTGTAGGTCACCTTGGGTAGGATAGATATTTTAACAATATTAAGTTTTGCAATTCATGAGCATGGGATAGCTTTTCATTTTTTGTGTGTTTCTTCTTCAATTTTTTTTTAAAATCAGTGTTGTATAGTTTTCCTTGTAGAGATCTGTCATTTCACAAAACTAGAAAAAAAAAATACTAAAGTTTGTATGGAACCACAAAACACCCCAAATAGCTAAAGCAATCCTGAGCAAAAACAGCAAAAGTGGAGGCATCACATTACCTTATTTCAAATTATATTATAAAGTTAGAGTAATCAAGACAGCATGGTACTGGCATAAAGCAGACATAGTGACATAGAATAATGGCACAGAATAGAGAACTGAGAAATAAATTCATTCACTTACAACTAACTCATTCTTGACAAAGGTGCCAAGAACATACACTGGAGAAAGGACAGTCTCTTTAATAAATGGTGCTGGGAAAACTGGATATCTATATGTAGAAAAATGAAACTAGATTTCTTCTTTCACCAAATGCAAAATGAACACAAAATGGAGTAGAGACTTACATGTAAGACCTGAAGCTAGAAAACTACTAAAAGATTATTCCTCACTCTATTCAAAAATGAACAAAATGTTCTCTGGTGCTTTGGACAACAAAGAGAACGAAGTACTCACGATGCAAGGTCTTTTACTGATCTGCAGATGGTGGTCCTTGCAAAAGGTAATCTAATAATCCTCTCTTCTATTTAAGGACTATATGTGATTGTACATTTCTAGACATTTAAAATGATTTGTCCGATGACCCTTCAAGCCCTTTGATCCAAGCATTGTTATTACTCTGGCTCAATGTGAATTTAGGCGGACTGAAGTCGGGTGAGATGTTGGATGCTAATAAAAGCCCTGCTGGTGTGTGTTTCCCTTTCTCATCAGTCAGACACATTGTCCAAAAATGTTCCCCAAAATTATAAGCATGTTGTCCTGAGGGTTTTGTTCTCCTGATTGACATGAGTAACTTTGGGAAAGCTCTCTGAAGTTCTTTGAGAATCTATTGCTATTCTTGACAGAGTTTTGTAGTTGATTGCTTTGAAGCCCACTTATCTTCCTGAGCTGATTGAACATGTCTCTGATGTGCTTTTTTAATTAGTTTGTGAAGTGGGTGGAGTTGGAGCAAAGTCAATTCCATCTTGCTAAAATCTAATCAATGCTAGTTGACTGAATGACTTTAGTTTATTTAGCTGATTGACCCTGGACTTCTTCAGAAGTTGTTTTCTCTTATTTTCAATTTTGATGATTAAAAATATGATTTAATTACAGAAGTCACTTCTATGTTGCTTAATATGTTTGCATGAAATTCTACTCCACTTTTCCACCTTATGTATAACACGTGAAGCACACAATATGGTTCTGCTGAATTCAATAACATTTGCTGTCCCCAACTATAAATGAGACAACACAATTTTCTCCTTTGACTTTTCGTTTCCTTTGTTGTGCAGACAAGTATTTATAGAAAGAAAAGATTGCCCAAATCTTTGCAAAAATATTTACAGTGTACTAAGTTTTGTTGCAATTTCCTTCAGGATTTTTATGATGCAGTATTTTGCCAATCCTTTCACTGGCTAAACTTTTCTTATTGAAGTAATGAATAGAAAAATGGTGGCTCCCATTTATTTGAAGAAGAATTATTGTGACTGCCTGCCTGGGCATCAAGCTGAAATGCTTACAAAACCATTTCACATCCCAAACAACCACCAACCAAATTTTGTTTCTGTCAACATAATAGAAACAAATGGTTCTAAAGCAGAAATTCTGCTAGCAAACATTTTCATCAGAATCAAGCACTGTGGCTATGAAAATTCATCCAAATTAAACATTTATTTCTGAGACAAACGCCTTCTTTGTAAAATATTTGCCAGAAAAGATACCACTAACCCTGCAGGGTAAGTTCACTTCTGTGAAAGATCTGTGATTCACGAGAGCCTAATTAAATAGAAAAAAAAAACTTTAGTAAACTTCTCTCTAAAAGGAAATGTAAAGCCTGCGTCTTTGGGTGGCAGTGAAAACTTGCTCTGAAGCTTTATTTCCAAATGCTGTTTTTAAAGAAATTCTACAAGAGGACTCACGTGGAATATGGGCTGGTCACTATTAGTCAAATACACCAAGATATCCTAGATGAGTTCCACAGTGGTTCAGGTCATTGTTTCATTTCGATTGGTTTGGTCCTGGAGTGTCTGAATGGCACAGAGGGGAAGGAAAAGCATTGGAATGGACGGACTGATGTTTACTCCCATGTCTCAGCCTGAGGGACTGTTTTTGAGACCAAGGGAGAGTATAACAGTCAGATATTGCCACATAAACACTTCATACAAACCACCCTAAAACGGAGTGCATACAGCAATAAGCGTTTATGTTTCTCTCACACACCCATGGCTTGGCGGGAGTTTAGGTGATCTAGGCTGGGTTTGTCTGACTTAGCTCTGCAGGTTAAATCCAGGTGTATATCATGTGCTTCTTAAACTTTTTCGACCAGATGCTCTATGAGGCGTGTTCGTCTCATGGCAAAAGTAGCCAAGCAATAGACTAAGCTGAAACACACGTGCACATTTCTAGCTCCTGTGTGTGTCATATCCACTAATGTCCTATTGGTGAAAAGAAGTCAAGGGTCATGCTCAAGTTCAAAGGGTCATGCTCAAGTTCAAGGAGGTACATTCTGCCCACCTCGAGGTCAAAGCAAGTCACATGTCTAAGACCAACATCAATGAGTGAGAACATATTCTTCCCTCAGGAGGGAGGGAGGAGTTAAGATTTCCTGAACAGTATTGTTATCTACCCAAAGTGCTGAAACCAGAAAAAAAAAGTACGTGTATTCATGAAATACTTCATGAGTTTGAGAGTCCAAATAGTAGACCTGTGACTAGAATGCTTTGGCATTCCCAGGGATGATGGTAGTTGTCAGTGAGAACTGATGAGCACAGTGGAGCCGCATTCCTCCAGAGGTCGCGTGCTTACAGTCAGTGGCCTGGTGCCTTGGTGAGAGGCTGCGTCAGTGGAGTGGGATTGTACTTGTTGCTAAGCACAACGAGATGCTACCACCCCTGAGAACCTAAGAGATACCTGGGGGAGACTTTGCAGGGTGCCCAACTCCAGAGCAAACAGGAGAACTAGCACGGATTAATTTGTATCCAGAGGTTTTGGACATTGTTGTTTGTAAGATGAAGTGGGAGATTGGATTCATTTTCTTTTTTTTTTTTTTTTGAGATGGAGTCTTGCTCTGTCGCCCAGGCTGCAGTGCAGTGGCCGGATCTCAGCTCACTGCAAGCTCCGCCTCCCGGGTTTACGCCATTCTCCTGCCTCAGCCTGCCCAGTAGCTGGGACTACAGGCGCCCACCACCTCGCCCGGCTAGTTTTTTGTATTTTTAGTAGAGACGGGGTTTCACCGTATTAGCCAGGATGGTCTCGATCTCCTGACCTTGTGATCCGCCCGTCTCGGCCTCCCAAAGTGCTAGGATTACAGGCTTGAGCCACCGCGCCCGGCCTGGATTCATTTTCTACGTAATTATAAAGTAAAGCTCCAAATGAACCTAATTTCCATGTTACACTGAAAAATCCTAGTATAAGTACTCACCACCATGCCTTGCTAATTTCTGTATTTTTAGTAGGGATGGGGTTTCACCATGTTGGCCAGGCTGGTCTCAAACCCCTGACCTCAAGTAATCCACTAGCCTCAACCTCCCAAAGTGCTGGGAATACAGGCATGAGCCATCACCCCCAGTCTTAATGACTTGCTTTCTAACAAATAGAATACGTTGGATGTGCTGTGTATATATGTTTATATATAGGATGCCCTAGAAAATAAATCTGTAGACATATAATGGAATAAATATGTGTATCCAGTAGTGGTTTCAATCAACAAACAGGTGACTAAACAATAAAAAGCATAGAAACAATCTGAATGTATGATATTGTTTTGCCATTTTATCTTAAAAAGTCACAAAGCTTCTATTTGTGAAAGCTGCTGGTGATCCTACCTGTACATCCATCTGACACGCTGTCCTCACCAACACATAAATATTCATACTTTCACATCACAGTGGCTATTAGCACGAGCATGGGATTTGTGTGTGGCCTGAGACTACTAACTTCCCACCAAACCTATTTCCTCTTCTCCTTAAGCACACCGCTAGACTACATTTTCTAACGTTCCTTGCAAGTAGTGTAGCCATGTGACTGAGCTCTAGCCAGTGGAATTTGAGCAGAAATAATATTTTGTCACTCCAAAGCCTGACCCATAAAAACTTCACATGTTCAATTTTTTCATATTTTTCCCTTCCAGGGCTTGATGCAGACAAAAATTTCAACCTTGAAAGCCATGGACTGAAGATGGTAGAACCAAAAAATGGAAGCATACTGGGTCCTTGAGCTGCTACTTGAAGTATCCACTGATCAGGACTTTACATAGCAAGATAAAAAATTCTTTCTTGTTTGAGACCATGTGACCATGGCCAAGTTATTTGAACCCCAGGTACATAAATTTTCTTATCTATAAAATGGTGTGTATAATGGTGTGGTTCTTCTATATATGTACATGGACTCCCTGGCACTCCTATCTTCGAAAGGTGGAGACTAATTTTTCTCCTTTTGAGTGTACACTGAACTTAATGACTTTTTTTTTTACATAGTCTAGCTCGCCCAGGCTGGAGTGCAGTGGCACAATCTCAGCTCACTGCAACTTCTGCCTCATGGGTTCAAGTGACTCCTCCTTCTGCCTCAGTCTCCTGAGTAGCGAGATTATAAATACTCACCACCATGCCTTGCTAATTTTTGTATTTTTAGTAGAGATGGGGTCTGATCCCATCTCAGACCATATTGGACAGGCTGATCTGAAGCCCCTGACCTCAAGTCATCCACCTGCCTTAGCCTCCCAAAGTGCTGGGATTACACGTGTGAGCCACCACGCCCAGCCTTAATGACTTGCTTTCTAACAAACAGAATATGGTAGATGTGGTGGTGTGTGACTTCTAAGACTAGGTCATAAAAGGCATTGTGGTTTCCTGCTTCTCTTCCTCTTGGATCACTCACTCTGGGGGAGGTCAACTGCCCTTTGGTGGAGACACTCAAGCAGCATCATGAAGAGGTCCACATGGTGAGAAAATGAAGACTCCTGCCAACAGCCATGTGACTGAGCCAACTTGCAAACATCCTCCAGTCCCAGTTCAAACTTCAGGTGACTGTTGTTCTCACTGGCATCTTTTCTACAACTTCATGAGAGACCAAAAGGAGAACTATCCAACCTGTCTCCAATTCCTGACCCATTAAAAACTATGGGATCTATGGAATCTCAGTTAGGTAAGGAAAGATATGAGGACACTAGGAGGACTGACAGGTATGTCAAAGTCAATAGATTTGGAGTCCCAATGAAGATCAAAGAAATGTTAGAATGGGAGATGTATTAGGATATGTGAGGTGGAAAGATACAGCTGATGGTCAGATAGTACAATACTTGAAATCAAGATAAAGGAGGTAATACATTTATGGATAATTATGTGAGCCAAGCTGTTAAGATTATGAGAGTTGATGGCTAAAGTGAACTAAAGGAACTGTAGCTAAAAGTGACAGGCAGGGTAATAGGTGAATCCTTTTGTCAGATGTTGAAGCTGTGAAGAATGATGACAGGAACAGGATTTGTTTTAGCAAGAAAGGCAGTGATCTGGGTCCCAACATTTTCAATAAATATGGAGGTCTAATTGGACACTTGTTAGATAAGTACCACAAGGAGGGGTAGTGAATGGTGCTTGCCTGATAGATGGGACTCAGAGAAGCCTGCGAGTTTGAGAAAGGAGGAATGGGGAATTGGGTGGAAGTGGCCAAGAGAAGCAAGGAAAATGCTACCTCATGTCCAGGCCCCAGGGAACATGGGAGCAGTAAAAAACATAATTGCTGGTGAGGGCTATTGGAGAAGTAGTGCCCTCAGTAGTCAGATTCCACCTGGAGGAAATGTTGAGGTTAAAGAATTTGGTCAATAATTGATTCAACTCCAGATAAAAGAGCAAATGGGTTTGGGAGGCCAGGGAGGGATAGAAGACGAGGTAGGATTAGGAGACTACAAGGCCTTCAAGTAGTAAGATAACCTTGAATCTTGAACTCCTGGAAGTACCTAACATAAACAGAGATATTAAAGCATGATCACATTAGCTGTGATGGCCTTTTAGATAAAGGTATATCATAAATTCTGATTATAGCATTTCTGGGGATTGTTTTAGGTCTGTTTGTAGGAGTGAAGTGAGTGGGGCTCTGGCTACAGACATGGTAATCCTACAGGGGCACATGGAGCTGCCTGAGCCTTCCTGAATCCCCCTGAGGGTGGCATCAGGGTTGTAGGAGGGGAACTCTGGAGGTAGTGAGTGATACCATAGCTCAAACCACAGGGAGGCTCCCGATTGGCAGTCTCCATAGAATTCTGGAAGTCTTAAGTTCCTTTTTGCTGAGTATTAACTGCTTGCCCTATTGATAGATTAAAGAACCAAATATCCTCAGGTTCAAAATGATGGATTCAATACCATCTTGCCTAATCCCCAGTTACCACCTCATTAGAAAGGAAAAATTAAGCCAGGACTCAACATTTTGTATTTAAATCTTCTTTTCTCTTTTCTTACCTTACATTACTTTCAAAAAGCTAAACTCATTTTCCGGAAGGTCTTCAATTATTATTAAGCACAAGTGAGTAGATTTGCATGTTTGATGGCTCCTGGAGACCACACAGTGCTTCTTTACCTCTAGCAAGAAAGGCTTAATAGAGGGCCATGGGGACCTGAGCACAGGAGAGTAAACTATGAGGCCAGTTACTCTTACACTCCCGGAAGTGCTCCACAGGCCTGGCAAGGCACTTGATCTTGTTCTGTATGCTTCTTAGTTTGTGAGGTCTCACCAGAGTGCCTTGAGGAAAAAATCATTAATGGTTGCAAAGCATAAATCCCGAAGCTATGGGAATAGAAAAGCAACAATAAAGGGACTTCCCCTGTTGCTCAACTTCAGCATTTGGAGGAACAGTGTCTGAAATTAAACTCCACTCAGGCTCTAGTCTGGTCGGCCTGAGACATGATCTAAGCTTCCCCCGTCTTTGCACCATACCTACTGATCCTTTCCTTGACTTTTCTGCTACCTCCCTGATGCTCATCCTTCTCTTTTGCCTTTCCTTATCCAGTCAAGAATAGATCAGATTAATACCACCTTGTTGGTGTAATGTCACACATTTTATCCCTTCACTTATCCATTTCACAAGTATTGTATATCTGCTCTGTTTGGGCTCAGTACCTGACCTGGTATTACAAAAGTGGAAGGGTCCCAGCTTGAGTCTAAGAGTCTAAGTGGCATAAATGGCCATGTGTTTACATATCTGTGCATGTGGGAGCAATAGGGGAACAGGCCCCTCAAGAATCTTTGTGCGAGATCTTAAAAAGCCTTGAGGATGGAGGAATGTGGGGAGCAGGGCAAACTTGATTTAGAAGCAAGGGTTTTGTTCTCTGTCTCCAGTTTACACTTCACTGTCTCTGCTCTGAATATTGGTATGTTAATCAGAAGGCTTATCAGGAGCTCTGATGTTTGAGAGCAGGAGAAGATGGATGTGTCAACTCAATAAAGGAGACAGAATCCATGTGTTCTCTGCCTTTATCTTCTTCTATCCATGCTCTCAACAGATTGGTTGATGCCAAACCTCATTGGTGAGGGCAATTTTCTTTACTAGATCTACTGAATCAAATGCAAGTCTCTTCCATAAACAACCTCACATACATACACACCTACCAGCTGTCTGCACATCCTTTAGCCAAATTGATACATAAAATTAATGATCACAACTGGGGTTTTTGGTATTTGAAAGATTACTCCAAATTTGTAAAATATGGTGGCCCAGAGATCATGCTCGTCATGGCATGTATGATATATTTGACACTCAGGGCACAGAGCAGATTACTTTTTAAGATTCTTCCTTCCTATTCTAAAAATTATTGCTAGTCATAATCATGTACTAAGAATCATTATTTTATTGATTCATTCTTTAGTTTAAAAAGAATTTTAAAATTTCAATTTAATATTAAAATTCAGTAAGATATTTAATGTATGAACTAAAATTTGCACTTACTGAACTGACTCAAAATGTATAGTATGCTTTGCTGTTTTAAAATTTCAAACACAAAACCTCTAAGAGATCATACAGAATGACAGAGTTGAAGTAAGTCAGGTTCTGTCTCTTCATCTTTACAATCAACATGCCATCATTATTTTGAATCTATTGTTTACACTGAGTAATATGTAGTATTCAAGGGATTAGAGACATAAACTCCACCCAAGATGAGTTGGACCGATTCCAAACCATTCCTTTCTCTTCAAAGGAAATTATATAGCTGAGCCTGTATGTCTGGAAACTGACTGAACGACCGAGAGTTCTCTGAGTTAACTTCCATGTAGAATGCCATGTATATTAAGGTATAAGTAACAAAACTTGATCATTTGAAGCATATATTATTGCTGCTGTTGTTATTATTAAAAGCTCAATAATTACGGCAATTGTTTAGAAATGAGATCAACTAAAGGTTTTCTTTTTTCCAGGGAGGGGTAGTTTATTACCATCACTGTTTGATTGATTGATTGATTGGCACATAGTGGTATTAAAAAGCAGACTGACTTTAAGTTAGTTTTATTATTTTCAAATTCTCTGCAGACACATACCCTCTATTACCTTCACCTAGGGTGGACCACTCCCATTTTTCCACCATTTGTACTCCACTACTACTTTGGGAGACCCTAGAACAAAGCATAACACAAACAGACAAGGTTCTTCCACACTTTTTCATAGGATACTGCGCAATTTGGATGCCAAGAGCTATTCTAGCAGCACTTGGGAGGAGATCCCAGTGATAGAAAAAGGAAATGATATCCAGAAAGAGAGGTAGCCATGTCCCACAGTCCTTAGCAAGGCCATGGTGCCGAGCAGACAGAACAGTACTTTGGGGACTCTCAGAAATTCTTTGCAGGGAGAGGAACAGCTCTGCAGAGGTAAGACCCTGTGCCAGCAATTTAGGGCAAGGGCCAAAAGTCTTAACCATGTCCAGAGATGGGTAAGACAGAAAGAATTTCTGCCCTCAGAAAGCACGCAGTCTAGGTAAGGCAAAAGTCACATAAGTAAACATCATAATATGTTGTGACAGAATGAAGTTTATTTAAATATTGTGTATATTCCGATAAGCAGAATGCTAGACAAACATGTATGGAATACCAAGGAAATATTCTCGGGAGAAATGATGCTTGAACTGATTCTTTAAAAGGCTGTAGGACTTAGTGACTTCTAAGACTGAATCTGTCCTGTTGTGGCTTCAGGTGTGGCTCTTGAGTAGATATAATATTTGGAAGCAGGGCATGCTTCCAAAGATCCCTTTAAATTGAACAGTATCATAATATCTAAATTTTATTGAGCTTTCATAATGTGCCAGGCAGTGTGCTGAGTGAATGCTACTCATCATCTAATTTTATCTGCAACGCAGTCCTATAGGGTAGATGATGATTGCATCCTCATTTTATCAAGGGGAAACCAAGGCTTTGAGTAGCTAAGAAACCTACCCAAATTCGTAATCTAAGAAGTGGCTGAGGTGGGATTCAAATGCAAACAGCCTGACTTCAGAGCTTAACATTTAGTCTTTCAATTGCTTCCTAAAAATGAACACAGAAAGACATTTGGATCACCGTTTACTGGAAACCCACAATTCTTCCTCTTCCTAAACTGCACGTAAGACTGGTATTGCTGTACTGTGATAGCTCCTGCAGGTATTCAGCTGAGCTGTGGTTGGCAAAGACAAGGATCAACACCAGTGACTACTGCTGCGGGAAAGGGTCTGACTTTGTGCTCAAACTTCATCTCTACCACTTCTTGGCAATCTGATCTTGGCTAAGTCATTGATCCGTTCTAAGCTCAGTTTCCTTTCTTATAACATGAGGCTACTAACAACTAAGATTCAGAATTTTTCTGATGATGAAATGCAACTAAATAACATAGCCCCTGGCACATAGTAGGCACTTCTTCACCTGCTACTCTGATTCATGTCAGAGTTCACTGAGCAGGAAATAGCAGAATTTATTTTTTAAATGTAGCTGGCACTCAATTTAGTTATTCCACATTTTTGAATCCTAAGTAAAAGACCCCAGGATTGCTATTTATTTTAAACAACAAGCACCTGTCATTGCTCAAATTAGAAACACTTGTAGAACCATGCTACAAAATATTTATAAATTCACAAATGTGTTTTAATTGCTGCTAAGTAAAATGAATTCAGCTGTAGTTTTTTTAACTTTAAGAAAAATATGCCTTCATTTCTTTCTCCTGATCCTAATTATAGCTGTTGAATATTGAATTTGTGCAGTCAATTGTACAGTATTTGTGCTAATGGAAGTTTGTGGGTTGGAAGGAAAGGAAGAAGAAGGTGTTGGAGATAGATGTCTTAATGTGAAAGAAGCAATTCATATTGCAAACAAAAATTAGGCTAAGAAAATATATCTGCATTTGGCCTCATAGCTCCTTTCCACAGTGGGAAATTCATTGACCTATTTTGTGAGATGTTTTTCTTTTTATTTGATAATGTAAGTGTGAATATATCCATGTATATATTCATCATAATTCTTGTTTTTTTAATGGAGTACAGGGAAATATGATATCAGTTTTATCTAATAGGATAAATAATGCAGTCAACTTCTACTGTCTATGGATTTTTACAAAATTCTTTCTCCACACACAGACACAGGGAGCGGAACAACACACCCTGGGACCTGTCAGGGAGGAGAGCATCAGGAAAAAGAGCTAATGCGTGCAAACCACCATGGCACACGTTTACCGATGGAACAAACCTGCACATCCTGCATATGTATCCCATAACATAAAATAAAATAAGATAATTGTTTCTCTGACACAATTTTTACGTGTGTGTGTGTGTGTGTACATATAGTACTGGGTTTATATCTCCACATATCTCCACAATCTTACAAACAGAAATTAAATTTAAAGATCATCACATTTGATGGAAAATAATCCTATTTTCATATGAAGTTTGGGGTGAACCAACTATTAACAAGAAAATAATTTTAAGATGAATATTTTCTTGTAATTGAAGCTACAGTGATATAACCTGTAAACAGGTGTTTGAATTATACATGAATCATGAAGCTACTTTTGGTTTCTTATATGACCTCCATGAATTACAAAAATTGTCAGAGGAAACATTACAATGCCATTATATAAATGTATACTTAAAATTAAATTCACATTTACACAAAACTGCTTTGTGTAAAACATTGTGAGTTAAACATTTTAGAAAAATTATATCTCAAGAATCATCAGCTATAGATACACCAAAATTTGTATTTCAAAATAATTTATTGAAGATTTCTCCTAATGTTTTCATAGTCCATAAAATACTCAATAACTGTAGTAACAGTTGCTTCAGAAATATCCTTCTGAAAATTAAAAATTATCAAAAATCATTTATGATCTTTTATTTGCCAAGAAAGACTGCTGTCAATTTTATTGAAGATGAGGTTGCTAAAAGCAGACATTTAATTGGCCTAGTAAGGGAATAGGCAGAAAATATAGCCAGAAAAATTTTATGACCAATCAAGTTATCATATTAGCTTTATTATTAATAAAATACTGAGTTTATTAGTATTTATTGTATTGCCTGAAATTACAATAGCAGATTTTTTTCCACAATTTCTTAAGTTTACAGTAGTACTCATATAGTACCACCAGCCTATTATGTTTTATAGTAAGAAAACATTTTTAAAGGTGAAGCTTTATATGTTAATATATTTTCTTTTCTTACTTTTTTTTTTTTTTTTTTTGAGACAGAGTCTCGCTCTGTCGCCCAGGCTGGAGTGCAGTGGCCGGATCTCAGCTCACTGCAAGCCCCGCCTCCCGGGTTTATGCCCTTCTCCTGCCTCAGCCTCCCTGAGTAGCTGGGACTACAGACGCCTGCCACCTCGCCCGGCTTGTTTTTTGTATTTTTTAGTAGAGACGGGGTTTCACTGGGTTAGCCAGGATGGTCTCGATCTCCTGACCTCGTGATCTGCCCGTCTTGGCCTCCCAAAGTGCTGGGATTACAGGCTTGAGCCACCGCGCCCGGCCTATTTTCTTTTCTTTTAAGACAGGGTCTTGCCCATCACCCAGGCTGGAGTGCAGTGGCACAATGATAACTCACTGTAGCCTCAACCTCCTGGGCTCAAGCAATTCTCCTGCCTCAGTCTCCCAAGTTGCTGGGACCACAAGCATGTGACACCATGCTTGGCTAATTTCTTTTAAATTTTGTATATATATGGGGTCTTGCCATATTGCCCAGGCTTGTCTTGAACTTCTGAGCTCACATGATTCTTCTACCTCAGCCTCCCAAAGTGCTAGGATTACAAGTGTGAGCCATTGTGCCCTGCCTATTTTAGGATCCTAAGTAACAATTTCTACCTGCCTTTTGAGCAAGAGGCCTTGTCTTTTCATTTTGCACAGCTCCCATAAATTATATGGCTTGTCTTGCCTGTAACATTTGAAGTAGCCATCCTCAGGTATAGAAATAAACACAAGCAATAACAAAGAAAAACAGAAGATCCACTTTTGAAACCCAGTTCTGGGACATTCGGTGAAGACCGTTTATGTTTTCACTGCCCTGAAGGTGAAAACGGTGGCGAGACTGTTTCAGAAATAAAGAAGACTAAAGACACATAAAAACCAGAAGTAATACAGAAATACTAATTGGGTCCTGGATAGGGAGAAAACTATAAAGCAAGTTTTGGGGACAATCAGGGAAATGTAAATATAGATTTGATATTAGACAATGTCACTGAATCAACATTTATCATAATAATGATTATATAGGAGAGTGGCCTGCTTTTTTGGAAATATACGTAATTTTTAGGAGTGAGGTTAGGAGTAAGGTTATTGTTACTGGTGGAAGGTGTCCAGGTTCTTGGTTCTTTGAACAAAGAATTGAACAAAACGCACAAAGAAAGGAAAGAATGAAGCAACAAAAGCAGAGATTTATTGAAAACAAAAGCACACCCTACAGAGTGGCAGTGGGCTGAGCAAGTGGCTCAAGGGCCTGGTTACAGAATTTCCTGACCCTCTAGAGGTTTCCCATTGGTTACTTGGTGCGCACCCTATGTAAATGAAGTAGTGGCCCACAAATCAGTCTGACAGATTGTGGAAAGTGACCAATCAGAGGCTGAAGTGAAGTTACAAAGTCACACCCCATGGAAACATGGGATTGGTTGTGGAAAGTGACCAATGAGGGGCTGAAATTACTCCTATGCAGTTATACTCCTATGCAAAGTTATACTCCTACATATAGTCTCCTATACAAAGACTTGGCCCACGACCAGCCTGATTTGTTATGGGAGAAGACCAATCAGAGGTACTTTCAATTTTTCATCTGTCACGCACAAAAGGGGTGGGTTGCAAAGGGAGGAGCCTCCAGTCCTTTTGTTACTTAGGCATGGAAAGTTGGGGTTTTCCTTTTGACTTAGTTCTAGGAAGTCAGTGTCAGTCAGCCTTAGGTTCTCTGCCTCCAGACCCTATTCTCCTGTCTCATTATGATACTTTTCAAGTACTTCAACAGGAGAGAGCAGGAAAGGGGAGCACAAGAGCTAGCAACTGTGGCCAACTATTAGTAATTGATGACTCTAACTAAAAGGTATGCAGGTGTTTTGTGCTCTTTCAACTTTTTTGAAGGGTTGACGTTTTTCAAATAAAACATTTGAGAAGATACACAAATGACAGCACAGCGGGGCTTTCTGGGGAGTTGGTAATGATCTAGATTTAGACATGAGTGGGAGTTACAAGGATGTCTTCAATTTGTAATAATCCACTTAGCTATTCACATATGGTTTGTGTACTCTTTTGCGTATATGGTATTTGTCAATTAGAAGGTTTTAAAATAGTGCTTTATAATTGAGCGAGGAATACCTAAATGTCATCTATCGTTATTCCCCTGAGTGCACCACGTTTCTGGAGTGCAAAGGGTTTGCCAGTTCATCAGGCAATCTCATTTCTTTTGTTTGCTTTGCACATCAGATTCCAGATTCCACATTCAAAGTTTGAACCAAAACTTCAGTATGGGAAGGGAACAGAAATAAGACGAGGTTACTTAATTAGAGATAATTTTTTGCAGGGTGGATCTTGGTGTTGACTTGAAGCTTATATGATTTTGAGGACCCGCCTTCAGGGAAAATAATATACGCTTAAGCCTGAAAGTAAGTACTGATTTAGAGGACTCTAGGAAGTGAGGGTTTAGAAACTTGAGTATCTTTGTATTCATGAGAAATTTGCTCCTAGCATTTTGTTTTTCTTATTTTAAGGTGGGACAAAGGAAAAACTGAAAATATTATTGTTTTGGTGTCTTGTATTTCAGCTAATACTATACTGTATTTACTATATTCTTATTGTGTCTCTCAGGCACCTCCAATAACATTTTTTTTTTTTATGACTTAAGGGGACAAATCCCCTCTATTTGCTTCTAAACAATAGCTGGAAGAGGAGCACAAGATCTATGGACTAGTTTTATGGAAAAGAGGATTAGAGGAGAATCTCTAATTTGCTCCCATGTGAAATAACAGAAAACAATACATGCCTCACTGTTGTCTCTGAACTCAGAGCCTAGAGAGGCACCTGTATCAGGCACCATGTAACAGCTCACAAATGATGAAATCAAACCTCATTTAGTCTTCCCAATGGCTTTCTGAGATGAGAATGATTATTCCCATTTTGCAGCTGAACACACTTTCCTGCAGTCAACCAGAAAGTAATGCCTGAGTCTGAATTTAAATTAGGGCTTTTGCTCCCAAAGCCTATGCTCTATCTGTGACACTCCGCTGCACTAGCCAACTGGAGCCCTTTCACAAGATGGGACTTCTAAACGATCATGATCTTAACTTCAGGGATCTGGTGTCTGCTTTTTATGCCTCTAATAAAAGAGAAGAAATACAGAAGAGTTGAATTTTAAAGAGAATGTCTTAGGCAAGCGGGCAAAGAGAATAAACCTATCACAGCGAACTTAGACCCTCACTTTTAACAAGGTCAGCCCTTTCTGCTTAACCCTTGTAAACTCTCCAGATTTCAAAAGAGAAAATGAGAAAATTGTATATTTTATGAATAAAAAAAGTTTATCTAGCTGATGTATTTTTTTTCTCTTTTTAAAAAATTTTTTGTATTATTCTTTAAGTTCTGGGATACCTGTGCAGAATGTGCAGGTTTCTCTTTAATTTTCATACTTAAGTCACTAAATGCAATTTCCTAGTTCCTTTTCCTAATTAAATTATTTTCTTCGTGCCAGCCAACCAAACTTACCAAGATCCTATAGAGACTTAAACATTTTTTGTTTTGTTTTTGTTTTTGTTCTGGAAACAACTCATTTTGCTCCATTTCAGAGTGGTTTTATGAAACTGTGCAGCAAGACCAATCAACTTCTCCCTCTCTTTCTCTTTAAGGAACTGACAAACATAAATAAACCTCAAGATTCCACTTATAAATGAGCTTATCCAGGGTCCGATGTTTTTCCATTAAAAAAAAAAAAAAATCAGGTGGAAATGCACTCTTCCTGCTTTGTTTGCATAAACCCCAAATCAGCGTCAATCAGCTTGTCTTGATTTGGTATCAAGCCCCGGCAAGGGGACTGGCAAAGCTTAAAAAGGTTTCAGGACCAGCTAAAAAGGGGCGATCTGCTGGTGGATACAAAACAGTTAATCTTTTGAAGGCAGGCATCTGAGAGCATTTGGTAAAATCAGGCAACCCTCGGTTCTCATTAGGCCTTTCCAGCATGAAAGGCTTCTGCCTTCATTTAGTGACACTGTCCATGGACCAGCTTTCTTTGGTACACAAAACAGATATGTTTGCCTTATAGGTCTGGCAAACAAGTCTTGTCTTTTATTAT